GTCAGGAAGGTGAGCATCATAGAATGCCAACTTAATAGAAGAAAGTATTCTTGTATTGAGGGAGTACTTGAGTGGTGGCCCAATGTCCTTCTGCTACCTTAATACTAAACCTACAAATATAGGCACATAGATCTATTTTCCCATCTCCACCAACTTTTTAAACAGTGCCATCAGGGCTCTATGGCAAGTGGTAAAGCCGCAGGGTCTACAAGAACATAGTCGTAATCAAAGCTAAATTGAAGTGCTCGTTGTAGCAAGAGAAAATGCATCCTGAGAGTTCTGGGCCACCGCAGACGTGAGAATTCATCCGGGTCTGCAAAGAGCCTAGGGGCTCGTGTTAGAGGGCGCTTGTGTCAAATAGGGATCAAAGACCAAACCCAAAGAAAGCAAACACTGCCACTGGGTCAGTTCTGGCTCAGAGCGACCCTATAGGGTGGAACTTCCGCCATGGTCTCCAAGACCAGACTCTTTATGGGAGCAGCAAGCCTCGTCTTTCTCCCGAGGAGCGGCTGGTGCCAACCATTTGCAGTTCAAAGCCAAACGCACACTGTTAAGATTTGGTAGACTGGGGAATTGCCAGAACAGTCAGTGGTCTTATTTTGAGAGCCATGGACCCAGGAGCGCACTGCCGTTAGACCCGTTTTAGCTGAAGTCGTGGGCCTCGCATGATAGGTAGTTTGGTACTGTCTATCAAGGAGCTCTGGTAGCAGAGGGGTTATTTAGGTGGGCTGGTCACACAAAGTCAACAGTTCTTTCTCAGGAGAAAGACGGAGCTCTTTGTACTTCTATAAAGAGTCATGGCTTTGGGAACCCACAGGGGCAGCTCTACCTTGACCTACTGTGAGCCAGGATCGACTCAAGGAGATGAGTTTTTAAAAGAATACATTTTGAGAGCCAAGTTTTGCAAGTTACCATTTCAGGCTTAGCTCCTGGGTGTCTTCAGCTGGTGGGCTTCCTGCCACACTTCTCAGTCTCCCAGGCTGCCCGCACCTCTCCCTTGAAATCTCAGCACGGCAGGGCAGCCTGGTGGGAAGAGAAACTCTAGCAGTCCTAGGTATGGCTTTGGTTGGGCTTTTACTGTGTGGCCTTTGGTAAGTCAACCATTTGCATCCTTGGTTTTCTTATCTATATAGTTGGTAGAAGATCATTAAGCACTTGGCTAGTGCCTGAAAGGTTGGTGGTTCAAACTAACCCAGCGGCGCTGGTGGTCTGTTTTCCAAAGGTCACCGCCGTAAAAACCTTGCGGAACACAGTTCAATGCAAGGGCAATTGACAGTAGTAACGGTGGGGATAGTGGCAGCACTGCTCTAGTAGGAAGAGCCTTGGCGGCCTGGTGGCCATGTGTTGGGCTGCGAACCCCACGGTCAGCAGTTTGAAACCACCAGCTGCTCAGCAGGAGAAAGGTGCGACGTTGTGCTCCCGTGAAGAAGTACGTCCCTGTCCTGTCGAGTTGCTGTGCGTCGGACTCATTGACAGTGAGTTTGACTTTGGTTCTGGACCTAGTGGAGCTGTTGTGGGATTTCAGAAGTTAATTAAATTATGTAAAGTGTCTGTCATGGAGATTTGCCCGTACATATTTGCCGTAGCTTGGATAAACACTTTCCATTCATTAGTGAGTATCTACTATTATCAACTTCATTAAATAAACATAGTCCGAATCTTGCTTTTGCCTGCTCAGTGCCAGATTCCAAGTTGATGTGCTTGGTGAGTAAGACATTCTCCTTGCCCTGAGGAAAGCCAGGCTAGCCAGAGATGTAAACAGATGGCACTCGCGAGTGATACAGTGCCATGGAGTTGCTCCAGATGCTGAGGGGCATTGGAGGAGGGGCATACTACTGCTTGGCCATCTGGGAAGCTTCCCAGAGGAGACTCTAGCACAGTTGAGCTGAGGCTTGAGGAATTGTGGGAGTTCGTCAAGTGGAGGATGGGGGGACTGTGTTCCCATTGTCAAGAATGAAGTAGTTCTCGTGTCAATGGAGTTGAGGAGGGTCAGTCAGGAGCGCAATGGAAAAGTGGAGGTGGAGGGGGATGAAGGCTGGACAAGACACAAACTCAAACCCAAACTCAAGTCAGTGCCAAATCATAGCGACCCTATCGGACAGGGTAGAAGTGCCCCCGTGCGTTTCCCAGACTGTAACCTTTATGGGAATAGAAAGCCCCATCTTTATCTGGTGATTTTGAACTGCTGACCTTGTGAGTCGCAGCCCAATGGGTAACCACTGCACCACCGGGGCTCTGTGGGGGAGAAGAAGGGAAGGTGCCGCCCTGACCCAGCTCCCGGCAGTGGGAAGGAGTGACACCTGTAAAAGCTTCCTGTCGCTGCCTAACAAATCTCCACAAAGTCAGCCGCTTGGAACCACACCTGGAAGTCAGAATCCAGCACAGCCTCGCTGAGCTCCGTGCTCAGCGTCTCACCAGGTGGGTATCAGGTGGGCCACTAGGCCAAGTCCCTGTGCGGAGGTGCTGGAGACAGTTCCCTTGCACGCTGTCCCTTGTGGTGATTCGGGTTCTGGTTGCAGTGTGGGGCTCCTCATTTCCTTCTCAGCCGAGAGCGGAGAGGCCACCCTCATGCATTAAAGTCCACCTACACCTCTTGCCATGTGCCCTCCGTCCCTCCTTCTTCAAGCCAGCAACAGAGCTTCGAGTCCTTTTATGTTTCAAATATTGGACTTTGATCCCTAGACCGGGATTTAAAGGGTCACGTGGTAAGGCCAAGCCCACAGGCACAACCTTCTTAATTTAAGGTCTCCTGTGCCACGTCACTGCGGGAGAAAGACAGGGCTTTCTCGTCCCGTAAAGAGTGCCCGCGCAGACACTCACAGGGGCAGCCGTACTCTGTCCTGTCGCAGCACATTGTTGGTCTGTTGTTGGAGTGTCATCATGTTTCATAACTCTGGCAGTGCCATCTCATCACGTTAGTGGGTCCACCCACACTCAAGGGGAACAAGTGATACATGGACACATGCCACTGAGGGTCCTTTTAGAGGTGAACTTGCAAGATTTATGACCAATTCAGGGTTTCCAGCTTGGACAAGATAGTAACATATTTCCCGTTTCTAGCTTGGACAAGATGGTAACGGGGACGACTGGGAGAAGACGAGCAGTTTGGGGGGCTTCAGAGGCCATGTCACGCAGAACTGGCTGGAGGACGATGGGTCGAGATGCTGGAGGGCGAGTTCAAGCAACACGGGTGCTAACTCGGGCCCAGGAAGGGTGTGAAGGATGAGATGTAGGAGTGCTGGCTAGGGACCAGGAAGCCTGACTGTCCTGAGGGTCCTGGCCTCGCAAGGTCTGTGGCTCCCAAATCGGAGGGGCATCCGGGGCATCTGGAAAGCAGTCGTTGGAGCTGAGGAATGCAAGACTTGTGAAGTCAGAGCATCACTTTAGAATATCCCTGCAAGTGCATTAGCGATAGAGGCAGTGAGGGCCTCATAGAAGCCCCTGAGATGCTTAGGAAAGATATTGGTGCTCCTACTTTACAGAGGAGAGAGCGCTCCTCCACCCCACCCCACCTCCACCACCACCGGAAAAAATCCCCAAGCCAACAACCGGCAGAACCTTGGGTCTTCTGAAAGAGCAAGGAGAGGAATGGAAGCCTTCCTTTCCTGGGGCAAGTTGCTTACCATTGATAAGCCTGATGTCTCCCCTGAAAAAGGATGACAATAAACATGTCTTCTCTAGAGTGTTACTGTGTGAAGGGGATGAGGTAATACTGCAGGGATCTTGGGGGAAGTACTATTGTACATGCTACATAGGAAGTACTAAAAAACCATTTGATCATTGATGCTGCCATTATTGTCCTGCTTCTTGCCATCCTCAAGCCTAGAGGCCCACATCCTCCCCCAGATGCGTCGCAGCGTTGCACCATCCCGTGAGACAGCCACTCGCTGCATATGGCTAGTTAAGCCCAAATGAAATCTAATGAACGCCTCCGTCACACCCGCTCCATTCCCGTTTTGATAGCCACCGGGGCTGGCAGCACAGATGAAGACATGTCGCCAGTCACAGAAAGCTCTAGGGAACTGCATTGGTCTAGAACAGAGGCGGAGAGCCTTTTTTTCTGCCAGGGGTCAACTATGTATAACATCATTCGTGGGCCATCCTGGCCGAGCATTTTATCAGCTTGCCCCTAGGGGGATGACTGGAGCTCTGGTTTCCGTTTGGTGAGGCATTGATGTTATTGATGACCTTGTGGGCCTCGTATGACTCCTGGACTGGATGTTCCCCACTGCCAGTCTAGAAGGTGGTGAAAGGAATAGGGAGTCCTCTAACACCTGCCCCACCTCTGGTCCCTCAGAAGCCCACCACAGGCCTATTGGCCATCACCTTGGCCCTGCACTTCTGTGACGTGGTGCACATTGCTGGCTTTGGCTACCCAGATGCTTACAAGAAGAAGCAGACCATTCACTACTATGAGCAAATCACGCTCAAATCCATGGCGGTAAGTGTCCCTGGGTGATGACTGGGCCGGGTGTGGGGGTGTGGGGTGTGGACAGGTCTGGGACCAGCAGGTGGGGGGACACGTGGCCAGTGAGGGTGTGCCAGTGGCTAGCAGCTTGTGGCAAGCTCATTCTGAGGCGGAACTGGAACCGAGGCCTCCAGACTCCTAAGCCAGGGGGGGCCCTGGCCACCTGGGGGCAGCCTGAGGATGGATGCTCCCAGAAGCATGCGGGAGTGGGGAGGGAGGTTTTCCCTGGGGACACAGAGATTGCTAAAGGTCTGAGTTTGCTTCTTTGGCTCTCCCGCAGGGGTCAGGCCACAATGTCTCCCAGGAGGCTCTGGCCATCAAGCGGATGCTGGAAACTGGAGTTGTCAAGAACCTTACTTATTTCTAACTCAGGCAGGAGACGTGCATGTACGTCAGTCTGCCCACTCTGCTGGGAGACACCCCTCCTCCCATCCAAGGGGTGCCCGGTGCCAGCACGAGCCACTGGACTTAACCTCTCCCTGCCGTGGGAGCAGTTGCTGAACCGGCCAGGGCAAGAGGTGGTCATGCCCCAGGCCGCACTTTTGGAGCCCAGCTGTGGTCATGGCAGAGGCCAGGGGGCTGCAGGAGCTGACCCTGGATGGGGCTGGTTGCCGTGGTCTCCCCCTCTACCAGCGCCAAGAGATTATTTAATGGGCTATTTAATTAAGGGGTAGAAGGTGCTGTGGGCTGGTCCCATGACATCCAGAAAGGGAGCATGGTACAGTATTGTGCTCACTTTTTATCAAAACACAGGTGATAGACCCACAAGGCCTTAGACTCCAAGCAGGCCTCCCAGCAGGGTGGGGCAACCTGGAGGGGTGGGGGCCCTCCAGAGGGGCTGTGACCTCCCAGCAGGCATGGGAAGAACATCAGTGGAGGGCTCTATGGAGAGGGGACAGAACTAGAAACAAGGTTTCAATGCGCCATTAAACTATTTTTCCTAAAACAAGCACTTGTGATGCCCAGCGTCCTTGCAGGGTGGTGTGTATGTTCGTGGAGGCACAGCAGGGGACCCTGTCCCCAGAGGTAGGGCCCAGAGCAGGGGCCAGGGAATGCCCAAGTTGCACATGGTCACCCGAGGCAGAGCAGGCGGGCCAGTGGTGACCACAGCACCACTGCCTGCCCAACACCCGCCTGGCTCCCAGCATCCTGGTGGACTTCCCTGAGAACTGGCTGGGGGCCCAGAGGAGGCAGCAGGATGCCAGATGGGAGAGGCCAAGCCAGGACTTGTCTTCCTTCCTCTCTCGATCCAGTCTTCAGGTACCAAAATCGATTGCTGGGTGGTGTGTGCTTTGAGGACAGGGGTGTGGTCCAACAAAGGAAATCCACGTTTCCCCTCCTAGAGTACGTGGGAACCATAGGATGGAGTTTCTGGAAGGTCCTGCCAGTGGTCTAGCCTGCCAGGACTGAGTGGGCAGGGCTGGCAGGACAGCATCTGAGAAGATTTTCGCGAGCCTGTCAGCCAGCTGCCAGGCCAAAGGATGGCACGGTTCCCTTCCCGGTCTCTAGAATGCGAACAGCCCTGCCGCCGGCCTGCTTCTCTTGCCTTTATTGTCCATCTTCCCAGGCCCTGCTTGGCCGCCAACTGGGCTGCCTGCCACCACCACAGCTGTTCCTTTACATCTGGAGCCAGCCGGGATTGTTGGAAGGCCCTCCCTGGGAAATGGGACTCACAGCTGGATTCCTGGCTTTCTCAGAAGGAGTCGCATGAGGTTTCGCGCCAGGCAGGCTGGGGCCGGACAGATGCAGAAGGGCATCGATTGCAGAGGTGGTGTGGGGGGCCGGAGGACAGCGGAAGCTGGCGTGCCTGTAAGCAGTGTTGAAGGGCCTTGAGGTGAGCAGCAAGCCGCATCCCACAGAGTGGCCACAAAGGACCAGCCCTTTGTGGAGTGGA